TGCCCACCTCTTGGCCTTTGTGCTTGCTGTTCCCTAGCCTGGAACATTCTTCTCCCTCTTTTACACATGCCTCTGCCTGACCTCTTTCAGAGCTCTGTCCAAGAGTCACTTTATCATTGAGGTCTTCACTGACCCCCCCCCACTGCCCCCACTTTAGAATACTACCATACCTACTCCTCCCAGTCCTTATTCCCGTTTGTTTTAGCACTTACCGCCTGACACACTTTCTATTTACTCATTTATTTTTTTACTGTCTTTCTCCATTCGTTAGAATATGAAGCCTAGGAGGGCATGCATTTTTGTTTATTTTGTTCACTGCTGTTTCCCCAGCACCAAGAGCATTGCCTGATACTCAAAGGGTACTTGAAAACTATTAAGTAGATGAATTAATGAATGCATGCAAAGGAGTCACTGAACAATTACCGTATGCCAGCTGCTATGCGTTTAGTGAAGACATTTAGTGAAGAAGGAAGTAGGCAGACAATTACAATACTGTTGGTAAATTTTATGAAAGAAGTGCTATCTTAGGGGTGCTTTGAAGAGTAGAAGAAGGGGACCAGGTCCTCAGGAGGGGGCACTGAGCTTTGAATGAGGGAACGGGTAGAGGAGAGAGGAACCAAAGTGAAGTTGCAGGAGTAGACAGCCAGAGGTAGAGCAATGCCTAGACAAGAAAGCCTGGCTCATGTGGTGAACTACCATTATTACAAGAGCTCCAACTTTTTTCAAAAGCTATGGAAAGCCATTGAAGGATTTTCAGTAGAGGAAAGGTATAAACCCTTTAGCTTCTAGAAAGCTCACTCAGGTAGCAATGTGCAGAGAGGTGGAAGGAGACTAAAGGCAGAGTGGCCCGCAGGTGGATGCCCATCAGCTTGCTGGGAGAGAAGAGGGTTTGAACAAGGTTGTAGTGATGCAGGTGACGAAGAGAGCACGCTGGAGAGATTCTTGAGTAATTATCTGATAGACTTGGAGCAGGAGGGTAGAGGGAGACTTGGAGCAGGAGGGGTAGAGGGTCACTCCCAGGCCATGAGTCACACACTTTTTGGTGAAGGCAATCATCAAATAGGAAGATCACATTTCTCTGACTTACTTGCTCACATAGTCCACATATTTTATGATATTTAAAAATGGAATCTAGCAGGGGCAAAGGTAAACAGGAAAGAAAATCAAGGGCACTGTGTTGTTTGTAAGTTTTAACAACATTGCATGGCTCTCCATGGCCTCTTCCAAAAGATCACGAAAGCTTTAGTTTAAAAATTTGTTGGCAGATGGGTGATATTAGTACTCGGCACTTGGGATTTTTTAATGGCTCATTTGGTTTTTATCTTTTGAATACATTGCCTAAAACCTCTACTGAAATAAGTGTATTTTAAGGTTTAAATTACAGTCTGACCCTTCTGTAGTTAAACTTGAATAAATACAGTTTAATATGTTGAGATTCTATATGGTGAATAGTTTTTAATCTTGAGACATATGCACAGAAATTATTTTGAAAAATGAAGGACCAGATTATTCCCATTTAAACTGAGTCTCTATAAAGTATATGCGAACATAACGGTGCCCACCAAGAAAATATCTAAAAAGGAACAATTTATTGATTAATAAAAATGGTGAAAAATTGACTCTTATTTTGGAAAAATATTTAATCCAAACTTAAGTCACAGAGACAATAATAATGGAATTATTTTAGAAATCTTACAACACTAGGACAATTGTCTTTAATTTTGGGAATAATAAAAGCACTAATGTGACCAATGAGTAGTGAACTTATGACATTGTTCATCTGAGTCATTATTCATAATGACTTTTGAGCAGGCTGAAAATATAAATTAATTTAAGAGGATTAGATAGGTTAATGAATGGTTATATGGCATTTGCTTGTTACCTTATTAATTTATATTTGCTCTAGAAGCCACAAAACTAGTCAAATGTAAATATCTTAATCAATTGGCCATAACATACTCTAACTTCAAAATCCATTTTTAAAGAAGATTTTATTTATTTATTTGATAGAGAGAGCACAAGCAGGGGGAGCAGGAGGTGGAGAAGCAGGTTCTCTGCTGAGCAGGAAGCCCAATGCTGGGCCCCATCCTGAGACCCTGGGATCATGACCGGACCCAAAGCCGGATACTTAACTGACAGCCACCCAGAAGCCCCTAAAGTCAATTTTTGAGCAGTGAAGCTTTCATGTGTAAACTTAAATTTAATGACCACAATGTCTTGGGTGTATATGGGTTTATTAATCGAAGGACACTCAAAACACACATATAAGCAAGATCTTGATCAGCAAAGTAACTATTTATGGTGTGTGTGTGTGTGTGTGTACTTAAAAGTATGTCTGTGCCTTCTATCCAACTCCAGTCAATTCCCATTCCCCTGCTAGTAACAGATGACACTATCCTTGGCTTGCTACCATTTTTCCTGCCAGTGAGATCAAAAGACTGTATGCACATTTTTGGTAGCTGAGAATATATCCTTGGCAACATAGTTCTGAATAATCCACAAGACTTGTATTCACAATTCAAAATTAATGTTACATCTTTAAAACTACTTTTAATTTTAGAGTTTAGCAAAAATAGAAGTAGTTTCCTAACCATGAAGGAAAAATTTTGTATTTATTTTCTCTATAGCTCTCCTTTGATTTTCATGAAATATTGTGTTAAAATAGGCAATATAATTTTGTAGATTTCACAGTTATGGATAGTCTTTCTAAATCTTTACTTTAATATGGTCATGCAACAGAGACCAAGTTAGAAAATACAGAAATGTTAGTTGCTAGTTAAAACACTTGATTTCAAATTTGCTCTGATTTTTCAATGAAATATTCCCTTCCTGAGTTATCCATCAATGCAGTGAAAAACTCAATTGTACTGCACAATCTTTTTTCAAGTGGCAAGGTTAGGTTTAAATGGAAACAAACCTTTTCGAATTGCACATATCCATTCTCAGTCTAAACATTGAATTAATGTACTTTTTGTTATATGATTTCCTTCCTAACATCAACATTTTAAGAAGTGAAATGCCCTGGAGACGGTGGGGCAAATGGAATTATAGACCACGATAAAACCCAAGTCTTCTTCTACTTTCAGCTCCCCTATCACTACAAGTTCCAAATTCTGCCTTTACTTAGCATTAGCATTCACTTCCCAAACAATTTACCTAAGAGAGAGATGATTAAACCTGTTTATAAGCTAAGGGGAAGGAACTAGTGGAAAGCAGGAGGCTCTGATACAGATGCAGGAATAATTGATGGTGAAAGATCCCCAAGGACAGAGGGAAGGATGGATTCCAAAGTCTATTGGATGTATCTGCCTGCAGAAGAGGGGGTGCCTATTCTCCCTCTGGCTAGGAAGGAGGTCCATGTGGGTTTGGATTGATGAGAGACATGGTGGTGAGGGAATTTACACCTGATAGCCTCTATTTTCTCTGCAAAATCTAACAGAGGGAGAATTTTAAATAGGAGGTGTGAAATGGGAAGGAAGGCTCTCTGACTACACAGATATGCCAGATACCCAGCTCATTAAGAAGCTAGCTGGTTGAGTAAATAAAAAAGGAACACAGAAAAGTGATGTTGCACTGTGCACTTTCAATAACCTAAAACTGATTTTATGAGGAAATTCTTAGTCTTCCTATGAGGATTACAAAATAATTTATGAGGAACAGATTCTCTGAATGGTCCTAAACGTGGGGTATTTTTTCTTTAAGATTTTATTTATTTATTTGTCAGAGAGAGAGGGAGAGAGAGCAAGCACAGGCAGACAGAATGGCAGGCAGAGGCAGAGGGAGAAGCAGGCTCCCTGCTGAGCAAGGAGCCCGATGTGGGACTCGATCCCAGGACGCTGGGATCATGACCTGAGCCGAAGGCAGCCGCTTAACCAACTGAGCCACCCAGGTGTCCTAACGTGGTGTATTTTTAATAAAAAATTATGCATGACCAATTTTCCCTCTAATGTGCACTCTATGCTTTCTTTAATGTTACAGAGTATGAATTAAGATGCTGATTAACTGAAATGTCACACATTGAAAATAGGTTAGCTGTTCATTAGATGTAACAGAATACAGAACTAGTTAACATGAAGTCATAAATTATCATTTACCATCACTTATAAAGTGTAACTTTGTTAAAATATACTAACATTAAAAGTATTTTTGAGTTAGTAGGAAAATGCTCAATGTTTTTTGTAAAAATAGACAAAAATAGTCAGAATTATAGCTGGATGTCTTTGTGCTCTTTTCCACCATCCCAAAGCTGCATCTAATTCTACATAAAGCCAATAGAATCCCAATGCTGACTTTGTGGTTGAAAAACAGCTAAATCTCAGAACTGCTCTATTTCCATTTTATATATAAATATTCCCATCCATCTTCCTGAATATTCTAACCCCTCCAATGTGCTCAGTGTCATAGGTTATCGACAACTGACAGCATCTTTTATTTCCTTTTCTGGTACACCCTAGGTGCCACCGTTGACTTTGGCATCCCCTAGGTTATAAACAGGTTTTTGTGCCAGTCAGTTGGCCATATTTCATAAGAGGAAGAATTGAACAAAATATGTTCCTTTGTCATGCTATTCAATGATTCCCTTTGCAAATCTGCTTACTGAAGTTTTGCAGATGCAGAAGTCACATAACGTGCTGCTTGCTGGGAACTGCCTTGCATTTTCTCTGTTTCTAGCAGCAACAACTCCAGCTTTTCTAAATGAGATGGAGATGATGGATTTGCCGGTATTTGAAGAAACAGATGCACCGGAACAGCAAAGATTTTTTTTTTGAAAGGAAAAAATCAGACCCTTACTACAGATGCTCGATGTTCTTCAAAAGAAAACAAGAGAGAAGACCTATTGTGTACTTCCAACCAATAATTTCCGTTTTCCTTGGCATACAAAACATCAGCATGTTTCTGCACAGCATAGAGAACCTTACAGACTAGGACAGTTTTAATTGGTCATTTAAGTTTCAGTGGTTACATTATTATGTTAATTGAATAATTTTTCTTTTTTTTAGGGTCCTCTGGGGCCTCCAGGACAAAAGGTAGAGTATAAACAGTACTGGGGAAGTAATTATACTTGCATTGCCTAATGGTTAGCATGAGAGGTGAATAGAATTAGCTACTGTAAGCCATGCTGAAGCATCTTGATTGTGCATTCTCCTTTCTAAAAATACAATCATTTAATGTGAGCCATTAGATTTCTAATCAACTCCATTATAGGGAATCCAATAAATCCAGAGTAAACTCTTTTTAAGCTCTCTGCCGAACTTTACGTTACTGAATTTTTAGTGTTAAACATTGTGACAAAGCTCAGAATTTGAAGGTTCATAGGACATTGCAGATCAACTGCATGGTCCTGCTCAAGTATTATGACCAAATGATCGTAGAACGGACCAGAACAGAAGACGTACTTGTTGTTTGGTAACTGTATTCCATTGGTCCACAAGTGTTTCCCTTTGTGAGGTAATCTGAAAAATGACTTCCTGATTGTCATTTTCCAGTCATCAGAATTCACCATTACATTCTGATGGAGGTGGTCTAGCACATCTAAAATTACATCAATATACAGTAGTAAATATATTAGTAGTAGGTAGATGGCCTTTTGCCAACAAAATATTGCTAAGTCCCCCTTCCCTATTATAACTCCCACCTCACAATGGGGGGAAAAGGATATTTAATCTACAGAAAACTAAAGAAAACAATTGCATTACAACAGGTGGAAAAGTGATTATTCTTTATCTTTGGAATCTATCAAAGATAGAGACTTTTTATCCCCCAAGTGCTGGGCATGTGGCATCTGTTGAAATATAATCCTACAAAACGAAGTCCAAAGCCAATGAGTTGTGAGACAACTTGTGTATAAGAACACTTTGTCCTTTGCAATAATGTCTCTATTAAGCATGGTGTGAAATTGTAAAGCTACCCTAATCCACATGCAACCAGGGTAAAATTACTGCCTGAGGCTTCAGGAAGTCATTTAATGACCCACTCAATATAATTACCTAAAGCACTAAGGAACTGGCCATCTCAATTTGTTTTGCATATAATGGCTGTATATTTTTATAGTGACTGTATTTTTAATAGACTTCCTCTTGTAGAGCAGCTTTAGGTTTGTATTTACTGTTTAAAAAAACTTTTTCCCATTATTATTAAAGAAATTTTATTTCATACATGAACTGAGAAAAATCTGTTTTCTAGGCTAGACAAAGAATAAACACATTTTATTTAAAAATGGTTTCCTGGAGCCTGAAAGGGGAAATGACATCACTATTTGAAAATATTTGTTAATGTTTCTATATTCAGGTAAATGTCATAGATTTTCTAAGGTGATTATTAGCTTTCTTATTCTCAGTTCACCCTACCTACGTCCAACCATTCATAATCACCCCAGTGTGCGTGTGCCCATGTGTACACACACACACACACACACAAACACTTAACTTAATATTTGATGTGCTGTTTTTTATTCCTAGTCAGTATTTAACATTTGTAACACCTTTTCTAGTCGTTGGAAGACATATTCACACTCTCCCGGCTTAAATGTACTCCCTGAAAGTCCAGGGGAAAATGCTCCAAATACAGCAAATTTGAGTTTATAGCCTGAGTGCTTTTTTTGACTAATTGCGGAACAAGTGGTTATTACTTTAATTACCTTTTGTTTTATGGCATTTAAACTCTTGAAATGCAAGAGTTACTGCTACTGCTAGGCTTTCCCAGATGGAACTAAGCCTGTTTATTTCTTAAAAGCACCAAAATGTAGAGCCATGTGGTCTTCTGAGAGCTGTGGATCCCAATTTATGATGTAAATTTCTTTAAAATCATATTAGGTTTAAGTGGATATTTAAAAACATGGTTAAATTCAACTCCATGGTTTCTGGGAATGCTTGATGAATCTGCTTACATTATTATATATCTGAATTCCGTGGATATATATCTGAAACCTTAACCTTTCGCACATGTTTTAGCAAGGTAAGGTTATGGCTCACATAATTAATACAATACAAATATAAAATTGAAATATTTTGTGATTTCATCTGCTTAATTTAATCCTGTGTCTTCTTAGGGTTCTGTGGGAGAACCTGGAATTCCAGGGGTGAATGGTCAAAAGGTAAGTTCTATAGACTATTTCTGATTATTTAAAGGGTTAAAATCACAAAATCATTCTAGTCAGTAATGTTAGTAAAAAGTTTATATACTTATAAAAACACTACATATACTTTTGAAATGTAGGGAAATTATGGTGCAAAAGATCCAAATATTTTAATTTTTAATGATGCATAAAATAGAAACTCTTAGAAAATTTTCCATTTTCTTTTGATAAGCTTTATAGGAATACAATTATATCTTTCTTATACATAGAATAGGAAAAATGTTGTGTTTAACACTAATTGTGATAAACAAAATACACTCCAGTTTATTCTTGGCATGGCAAAAGTAACATGTGTTACTTCTCTCATTAACAAAAGTTATTCTTACAGAGGGAACCTATTGGAATATTCTGAACCTAGGAGCAAGCTCTTTTTATTGTTAAGAAAAATCAGGATTTAAATAGACTTGCCAAGCTCTGGTAGTACACTTTTATTGTACTATTAATAATGAAGGGGGAATAAAATAAGAACCCCCCACAACTCTACACAGACATATCAATGAGTGTGGTTACATCTACTCCTGCAACTGGAGTTGGATATTTACTGGTTGGACAAAGCATCTAGCGTCTTCCCACAGGTAGGGCTGCTCTTCTATGCTGCCCAACAGTGCTGACTGGCCTTTCAATCTGGAACCTCACAGAGACCAGGAAAGCCATAGGGGCAGCTAACAAAGTCCGTCTACAAGGAGCCAGGGACTGGCTGAGCTAGGGACTTCACGTGTCTCCCACAGGGTTTTTGGACTAGCCGTATAAAAGCCTGTGACCCATCAGCTTGCGTTCAACAGAAAATTTTAAATCCGTGTACTCTGGATAAAATTCGGAAATCATAAGGAGCCCAATATTGACATACAGAGTAGACCTGCTAGGAACATTTCCATCCTGTCCATCTTTTCTTCTCCAATAAGATGATAATTAACAATCACTATTTAAAACCTACAGAGGGGCTAGCAAAAAGCATGAGTCTGCCATGTACAGGTCACATGAATTTTGGCAAAGTCCTTGAACTCTCTGGCCTCAGTCTCTTCGTTTGTAAATGGAAGGCAGTAACAGTTTCCACCTATTAGGGTCGATGTGAGGATTAAATGCCTTTATGACAGGGGGGATCTTACAATGAAACTTTCCTTTCGTTTTGTTTTGGTGAAATTCTGGAAATGTGATCGATCTGTATCTTAAACAAGGCTCTGTGCTTCCACAATTACTCAATTCCCAGTGAAACTGATGTCCTCAACCAAGGCTTATGGTATCCGTTAGTCCACAAACCAAATACTCCTCAGAAGTGAACTGCCCAAGTCACTGCTCAGTTTACCACTTAATAAAATGCGTATCTGTTTGCTTCACAAATCCTGGTAAAGGTCGAAGCTTAACTTTCTATTAGAGCATTGTAGATCATGGAGGGACACATAAAAATTTGGAATTATACTCACTCTAAGATTGATTTTTGAAGTTATGTAAGTCAAGATAATATTTTTGAAAGGACAGATATGGATATAAGAGAAATGTTTTTAACATTGGTGAAGAACAAAGCTTATACCCTTAAGGTTAATGTTTTGCTTTTTCTTCTTTGCTTCTTTTCTGTTTTCAGCTTTGGGACAATCATGAAAATTTATAGAAACCTTTAACCTGAAACAAACCAACCTTAAAACTGTCACATACATGTTTATGAAGACTACATATTCTTTATTTTTGCAAAGGCAATATGCAATTTCCTTAGCAAGAGAAAGGAATGTGACATTTTCTTGTCCTAGTCACCAAGGTTAAATTATATTTCAAGGAAATAGTTAATATTTGCAGTATTATGTCTTGTTATACATCTTTGTGGCATTTTAAAGTGTTTTCTATAAGATCTAGGGAAGCTAAATAATTTCACACTTTTATGAAGGTATTAGCAAAACGTAGTTTATGATTGATTTTCCTACTCCATAAAATTTAACCTAAACTTTGTGGATGAAATTTCTGTTAACACTAGTCATTATCTAACATTTGTAATATTTGCTATATTATCTTTAGGAAAATAAAGTGCAAAACCATGAGTCCTTCACTGAAACAGCAAGTCATTTAGATAGTAAAAACAAAGCTGGAAAAAGAGTAATAATTCTGTAATTAAACATATGAAATATGTTTTGGATGTCTACAATTTGCTTTTCTAAGACAAGAGCTTACAGTGACATAATTATTTTAAAGCACCTAAATGTCCTCAAACTGTCTTAAGAAAACTTTTTTCCCACATTACAATTTCACTTTCCCAAAGAAGTATTTTTGTGGCTTAGAAAATATTTTTCAGATAATGGTTAAGGAAAAATATGATTTTCTAGCCATCAGAAACACAACAGAATAACAACTAGAAAATAGAAAGGTTTTTCTCTTTTAAAAAATGAAAGAAAAATATTTTTAAAAATGTATTTTATTTGTTTTCCATCCATTCAGATTGACAAAATTGGTGATTGGCTTTGGCCAATAAACTTGGTAGTGACTTTTTTCCCCCCACTATTTTCCTTCAAATGTGGGTCACCTTGACTGCTAATCTGAATATTTATTATTTTGTAATGGTCTTCCAGTTCTTCCGATTGTATTAGGAGAGGACTTACATAAGCAGTACCATGGCAGTGAACCCCAATCTAGCTCTTTCTGGCACCACAGTCTACAAAGGGCTCCTGAGCCTCTTCTGTGAAATGTGGAAGGCAGTGTGGTATGGAGGGGAAATGTGTAGACTCTAGAGTCAGAGACAGAATGAATGGGTCAGATCCCAGTTCTCATTTGGGCAAGTTAAATGTTTCTAAGGCTCAGGTGTAAAATAGAAATACAGACCTTGCAGTATTAACCAGATAATGTCTCTAAAGTGAAGGCAATGTTACAGATGCTCAATACATGTTACTGTCTGCGGGAATAGTATCACACTGCAGAAGTTTCAGCAAATGAGCCCCAGGTTTACCCTTAAGCAGGGAGTAGAAGCCAGTTGAATCATGATAGGAAGAACACGAAAATGCAAAATGACACAGGAAGGTAAAACGTTTCTCTGTCCCTTGGCTCTTTCCCCACTCACCCACCCTAGAGCGCTGCTCTGGGGTCAGGATGCTCAGTTTCCTTCCATCTCATGGGCAGCCTTTGGAAGACCCTTTTCACATTTCCTTTGTGAAATGAGACTAGGGGATGCACTTACTTATTTCTAAGTCTCTAAGAGATAGAGTCAGCTGTGTCTCATTTTCGAGTCAACTGGCTTCTAGCATTCTCAGTTCCCATTTCTGAAAGCTATTGTTTCCATATTTCCAATTTGTTGTCAGCAGCCAAAGCAATTAAGGTGGACTTCATACTAAGTCTTACCTATAAGTATGAAAAGTTGTCCTCTTCTTCCCTAGCTAATCGTATTGGACACAAACTTTTGTAATTCTCAGTAATAGATCTTGTTAGTTTAAAGGTGTAATTAGCATTTTGTTTGTGTCCCATTATTCATGATCCCTCTCTGTCTGTCTTTCTCTCTCACACACCCACATGCATACATGAAGAGATACATACATATTATACATACATACATATACGTGTATATCTAAATATTTGACCATTAAACCCTACATCTCAGATATACTGGAGAAGTGGGAGCTTTTAAAAATAACTTTGTGGTAGAACCATCTTTTCAACCATCTTTTAAACTATCTTTTAAACTTTTTTCCTTTGACAAAATTAATTGCTGTCTATGATTTTTGATAACCGGGTAATGGGTATTAAGGGGGGCATGTGTTGTGATGAGCACTGGGTATTGTACACAACTAATGAATCTTTGAACACTACATCAAAAACTAATGATGTACTATATGCTGGCTAACTGAATATAACAAAAAAATAATTTTTGTTTATATGTGTGTATCAGAACTTCCAAAATCTCAACTTTTATTAGTGATATTAGAACCCTACATTTTTCTTTTCTCTCCACATTTTCACATTAATTAGCACCCATAAAAATGAATCATCATAATGACAGTTTACTTGAATAAGAGCACTGAGCAAATAGCACTGAAGAAGAGATCTGGGGACAGAGACAGGGTACATTAAAAGTCTAATTGGTGCACTTATCACCCTTGTCTGTTTGTTACCATGAAAATTATAATAAATATTTTCAGGATTAAGAACCAATTATTTTGTCTCAGCAAGCTAGAGTATTTCTGAGGCTCCAGAGTCATAGGGATTGTTTCCAAAGCAAAAGACAAATATCAGAAGATCTTATTCATGGATTTTTCAAGTATTTTCTATAATTTTTAATTTTTAAACTTCAATATATAATATAAATAAAAAATGATGCTAGCATTATCATCTACTAATAAAAAATGATGTTAGTGTATCATCTACAGTCTATCCCAGATAGCTATGTGATTTTTAAGGAACATTAAATTTTAATTAGTTTATAGTTATGGTATTTAGAATTCCTTTTCATCTTCTATCTGTGGATCTCATGGTCTTCACTGACATTAATCCTCACAGCATACTTCTAATGGCATTTTTATTGTAAGTGTATTTAGAGAACAGATAAATTGAAGCTCTCAGACTTCCAAAGGTCAAGCTGTTTATTCAAGTCTGTTCAGTGCACTGTTCGATGAACTCAATATTTTTTATTCTTGATTCACTTACTGTAACAACTAAATACCCTCTTTTCTCTGGCTTCCTTGGCTCTGAATCAAATTCCTGAAGGATTTGAATATGGTATAGTTCTGTTTGTTTTCTGGTTGGTTAGCTTAGAAGTTTCCTATAGCAGAACTTATTCAGTGGTCCTTTTATCCAATATAGTTGTGACTTTCTGATTTTAGACTTTAAGAAAAAATACTCAGAGTAAATGAAGTGATTGATTTCTGATTCCAGATTAATTAATAGTTCAGGGAAAGTATCTTACAGCAATTCAATCATTTTGCAGGTTAAAGTTGAGACAAATTGTTTTTATGAATTTTTCTCTCTTCTGAAGTTAGCAGTTATGTACA